TTTTTCTGCAAAAAGCCTTACAGACTGGGGCAAGAATTCATGTAAGGGCTTTCTCTCTTCTTGAGTAGTTAATCAGATCAAGTCCATACGCAGGCTAAACGACCTATGAATTTGAAAATCATGTCGAGAAGTCAGGATTGTTATCTTCGACTTATCAAGGACTCAAGTCCACTTACTGATGTCCTTTGTCCTAAGTCAAGGTTATTACCCCCAGTTGAAGTTTGGATTGTTATCCTCAGTAAGATATGAGCTGTAACACAAAGATTATTTGAAGTTTGTTTACACGTACAAGATGCGATAGAAATATTGCTTCCTAGGGGGATGCCTCCTCCTAGTAAAAGACCTGTTGCTACTTGACATAGACCTATCTACCAAGGGGTTTCTCTTCTAAGATTTTTTTCTCCCCTGTGAAGTATCCTCGTTTCTCTGCAGTAGGAGAATTTTCTTTCTCCCTGGAAATATAGAAGTTGTTTAAAGTCTGGTTGACCCCTTTTCATCGGACTGCAATTTATTTTTGCAGCATCTCCTCTAAAGTCCATTTTTTAGTGGCATTTCTCCTCGGAGTCGACGTATTGAAGTTGCAATCTTGCATCACGGTTTTTACCCGGTAATTGATAATTCAAATTATCTATTCTTCGGTAAGGTTTTCCATTCCAAACAGGGGCACGTCACCCCAATTTCTGTTTTGCAAGTACTGTTGGTCTTACATGACAAAATGCATACCAACAAATGAATCAAGAAGGGTCTGTATGTGACTAACGTGAGGATGTTTGTATAATGAGATCCAATTTCCCCAGTGGAACTATTCTTCTTTCCCTAATGGAGCAAGTGTCCTTTCTCTCTAGTGAGGTGTACATGAAGAATTCCAGTCATAACTCTTTCGTTACCAGTGGTAGAAGATTTTATTGAGGTATCCCCAGTGGAGTTTCTATCTCGGGATGTGGTTTCTCCCCCAAGTGAGAATCTTTTACCTCCCAGCAATGTTATCCCCAGTGTGTTCTGACTAGAATTATTTTTATTTAAGAATTTCTATACTCTCCAACAGAAGTTATCTTCGTCAAGAATTTCTATGCCGGAAGTTTCCATTCCCAGCAAAGCTTTTCGCTTTCCAACGGAGGATAAAGAATTTGATCCCCGTGAAAAGAGGAGTTTGATCAGAATTCAAGATTTTCACTGGACTACAATTTATTTTTGTAATGATCTTCCCAGGAAGTTATTTCCCCAGTGACATCGATCTTTAGGGGTCGACGGTTCCAAATCTCGGTTCCCCGTTTAAGTTTATTTTGCATGTTCTCTACAGAAGATCGGATGTGCAAGAATAATCATTCGAAAGTTCATTGTCTTCCCAGCATCCGATTATTGATGTGATTTCCCCAGTGCATTGCTAAACATGTATCATTACATTGCATCTACTAAAACGCGTAGCATTTCCATTGTATGGAGCATTACGCTACAAAAAATTCAAACATGCATGAGTATAAGCCAATTGTGTCCACCTGTGGTAACCAGATTATTATATGCTCAGATTTGATTTATCTCCACAAGAAGCCTAGGGTAATTCTATTATGTTCCCTCATCAGAGTTTGTTTTGATTCACCACCAATCGGGTCTTTGGTATTTCTCCATTTCCCCAATAAGTTTATGGTTTGCGCTTTCCTTTGCAAGCCTTTGGTTATTTTACCCGCGTTTGCCTTGATGTTAGAGTATGAGTAAGAGTTGGCTTATAACTTTTCTTGCTTCTCAAGAGTTTGAGTATCCATACTTGGTGTGTGGTAATTCTGACAATTGCCACTCTTGAAGAATTAACATCCCGCCTCTGGCCTGAGGGATTTTTAGTTCTTGCGTATTTGCAACTTATCAAAAGCCCAACGTATAAAGGCAATTTTTGTTAGAGTCTGCTTTGACCAGTCTCTTTCTCTCGTAGAGTTCACCTTCGATCAGTGCTCTTTGAAGGCCCTGCTTAGTCGGTTCCTTGTTTTGGTTTATCCACGTTAGTCGGGTCCTCCTTTCGTTAGCCTAGATAACTTTTTATGATTAAGAGTCTTTCAATGTCTCTTCAAAGTCCAGTTGTATGGCGCCCTTGTTTAGGCGAATGCGTCCTTTTTATTGGGGCTTTCTTCGGTTAGTATCATTCCTGTGTTCGCTAGCAATTCTAAACATTTGTTTCTTGATGATCAATTTCGCTCTTGTGTATCTAACTCTGACCAGATATGCATACCTTTATCATTTGTTGAGAGTCCCCTTCGGCTGGTCTCTTTGCAGTTGTAAGTTCTCCTTCGACCGACGTTCTCTTAGTAGGAATCTACCTTCGGCATAGTATTCCTGGATGAAGATTCCCCTTCGGCTGGTTTCTTTATCCTAAAGTCCACCTTCAGCTGGCATCCTTTAAAATCCACCTTCGGCTGGTACCATTTGTTGAGAGTCCCCTTCGGCTGGTCTCTTTGCAGTTGTAAGTCCACCTTCGACCGACGTTCTTTTCTTAGGAATCTACCTTTGGCATAGTATTCCTGGATGAAGATTCCCCTTCGGCTGGCATCCTTTAAAATCCACCTTCGGCTGGTACCATTTGTTGAGAGTCCCCTTCGGCTGGTCTCTTTGCAGTTGTAAGTCCGCCTTCGACCGGCGTTCTTTTCTTAGGAATCTACCTTCGGCATATTATTCCTCGATGAAGATTCCCCTTCGACTGGTCTCTTTATCCTGAAGTCCACCTTCAGTTGGCATCCCTTAAAATCCCGCTTCGGCTGGTATCTTTCAAAACCCCGCTTCGTCTGGTATCATTTGTCAAAATCCCGCTTCGGCTGGTATCATTTGTTAAAATCCATTGTCGACTGGTATCATTTGTCAGGAGTCTTATTTGTTTGGTCTCTTCCCTCAGTGAGTTCACCTTCGATTGGTGTTTTCTTTGTAAGAGCTTTCTTCGGTCTGTCTCTTTCATACGTATCCGATACCGACCACGGATATGTATCTATTTCTTTCTTACGTATCCGATACCGACCACGGATATGTATTTTTGATACCTGTTTTATATGTTTGCTACCAACCCCAGACATATATTCTTGTATCTTTGATGTCTCTGTCATACGTATCCGATACTGACCACAGATATGTATCTTTGATGTCTCTTTCTTACGTATCCGATACCGACCATAAATATGTATTTTTGATACTTGCTTTATATGTCTGCTACCAACCCCAGACATATGTTCTTGTATCTTTGTTATCTTTTATGCGTATCCGATACCGACCACAGATATGTATCTTTGATATCTCTTTTGTGCGTATCTGATACCGACCACGGATATGTATCTTTGATATCTCTTTTGTGCGTATCCGATACCGACCACGGATATGTATCTTTGATATCTCTTTTGTGCGTATCCGATACCGACCACGGATATGTATCTTTGATATCTATTTTGTGCGTATCCGATATCGACCACGGATATGTATCTTTGATATCTCTTTTGTGCGTATCTGATACCGACCACGGATATGTATCTTTGATATCTCTTTTGTGCGTATCCGATACCGACCACGGATATGTATCTTTGATATCTCTTTTGTGCGTATCTGATACCGACCACGGATATGTATCTTTGATATCTCTTTTGTGCGTATCTGATACCGACCACGGATATGTATCTTTGATATCTCTTTTGTGCGTATCCGATACCGACCATGGATATGTATCTTTGATATCTCTTTTGTACGTATCCGATACCGACCACATATATGTATCTTTTCTATATCTTTTGTGCGTATCCGATACCGACCACGGATATGTATCTTTTCTATCTCTTTATTACGTATCTGATACCGAACACGGACATGTATCTTTTCCATCTCTTTCTTACGTGTCCTATACCGACCACGAATATGTATTTTTGATGTCTCTTTCTTGTATATCCGCTACCGACCCCGAATATGTATTTCTGATACGTCTTTTCGTATGTCTGCTACAGACTTCAAGCATATATCTTTTGATATCTTTCTTACAGGTGTTTGTTACTAAATCCCAACAGATGTTCCTTGATAACCAAGTTATTCTGCTATGTGTCAAACCCTGGTTAAACATACATCTAACCCCGATAACCCCTTTAACCCAGAAAGACCAAAAATATTAATACCTGACTGACTCCGGAGCGCAAATTTCCGGGTTCTTTTAAGTATTTAATCTTCTTCCACCTTGAAAGTTCGAAAGGTCGGCGTCAATCTCACCTTCAGGTTGAAGGCGATTAAATAGGGGCAACTGTTGTACCCTAAAATTTGCCCTCCTAATCTCTTTTATTTGGCTTAGACTTTTTGCATTCATCTGCATCATTCCAATGGGTCATTTGCATAGCACGCATTTTTCATAAAAATAGATCGCCTAAGGTTCAAAAGACCAGCAGTTAGGGAGCTAAGGTTTACAACTAATTTAAGGTGTATGTGTGGAATGAGCCTGATTATTCAGGGTCTTCCTGGTGTCAGCAAGTTGGGGAATTAGGGTTTTGGTTCATTCTCATTTTTTTGGACTTCCTTTCCCTCAAGCAGCAAGGCTATTATTTTCTGATAAACAACATGCTTAATGACTTTGACATGGCATTCATCCACTCTTCAATTAACCAATTTAGGTTTTGTCGAATCATGGTTCAGAGAATCATTGGTTGTGAAGCTCGGGTTTTCTTTTGGTTCGGAGTGTTTATCAAACAAGACTGATTCTTCTGGTACATTGAATTGTGAATTTAGGGTTTTGATTGATGGTTGTTGTGGATTTCTTCTTTATCAAGCTACGAGGTTATTCTCTTCATCTCAAAATCAAGTTGCAAGGTTTTATTTGTTAAAGTCTGAAGATTTGAGTTTATTTCTTTATGTCTATTGGAAGATCATGCTTTGTTTCATTTCGAAGACATTTTGAACATTATTCTATCCATGTCTCAAGTCGTCATTGTGCACCTAATACAAGCGGGTTAAGGTTTTGCATTTTTGTGTGTGAGTTTGTTGATGTTCATCAATGAGGAATGATTAGAGGATATCCTTCTAAGCTTCAAATTTTATCTTCTTCAAGGATCCCACAAAGACATTTTTTGACAAAACAAAGGACTTGTGGGGTTGAATTGAAAAGTATGAGGTCATGGCATAAGGAATGGTACCATAGATTCATGTTGATCAAGGCCATTTTTGTTCTCATCATCGTTAGTTTTTGCTCACAATACAAGTCAATATGGATTAATAGTTTTAAGGATATCTTGGTTATACTTCTTCCATATTTCCATCTTCATTATCAGTTCCTCAAAACATTATATTTGTGTGAGTCTGGTCGATCTTCATTCATCTGTTCTTTTGGCTGAAACACTTACTACTCTGATACTTGACGGTTGTACAAAGCTTGGGAGTGTTAAAGGCCAGAAACATTTAAAGTTTTTTTGGAAAAGATCAGTATCATTGGCTGTACAAGTCTCAAGGAATTTGTCGTCTCCTCGGATTTAATTGAAAACTTGGATTTAAGCAGTACATAGATTCAAACACTTGACCTGTCTATTGGGCTTCTTCGCAATCTTAAGTGGCTTAATCTTGAGAGTTCAAGACTTGAGTATCTTCCAAAGGAGTTACCTAGCCTAACATCTATTAAGGAGCTTAGGATTTCTGGCAGTGGACCAAAAGTTAAGAAACATCAGCTACATGTCTTGTTTGATGGCCTACGATCTCTACAAATACTACATTTGAAGGATTGTAATAACTTGTTTGAACTCCCTGACAACATCAGTGTCCTATCAAAATTACAAGAACTAATTCTAAATGGAGGTAACGTGAAAAGGTTGCCGGAAAGCATCAGGAATCTTCAAGGGCTAGAAATTCTGTCATTGGAAGAATGCAGGGAGATTCGGTACCTTCAAGAGCTCCCCTCTCTCATCAAATTGTTAAATGCCGGCAACTGCACGTCCCTGGTTTCAGTTTTAGACTAAAAAAAAACTATTGCATCAAAGATGATGAGAAATGCCAAATACATTTCATTCAGAGACAGCCTGAATTTGGATGGGCGTTCACTCAAACATATAATGGAAAGTCTAAATTTAACAATGATGAGCGCTACATTTCAAAATGTGTCTGTTAGAAGACTTCGCGTGGATGTTCACAGCTACAACTATACCAGTGTTGATGCTTGTCTACCAGGAACAAGAGTCCCACAAGCATTATACAAGAATCAGATTCATAGATGGTTGAACCAGAGACAAATTCCTATTGGGAAGTCAAGGGTTTCGAAAGGGGCATGGATCTATATTTTAAGAGACATGATGGGCAAGCTGTAACATGTGAAGATTTTTTATGCTGCCATGTGGGATGCAAATGATGCAGATTTTGCAAATTTCTTATCATGGTACTCTCAGGCTGGGACTCTAGTGGTTAAAGTAAATACTTCTTATAATGCAGAAGGACATACATTTTCCTTGAAGATTAGTCAAGAGACACCACCAACTCCAGGGCAGTCAGTTAAGGAACCCACGTTAATTCCTATTGCAGTAGGTTTGCTTGAGTCAAATGGCAAGGACATTCCTCTTTCCTCTATTTATCGTAACGGAGCCTTGCAACTCGTTTCAAGCAGTGGCCAATCAGTATCCACTACAGTCCTTAGAGTCAATAAGAAATAAGAAGAGTTTGTATTCACTGATATATTTGAGAAGCATGTTCCATCTTTGTTAAGGGGATACAATGCTCCTATTCGTCTTCAATATAATCTTACTGAGGATGACCGGTTTTTCCTATTAGCCAATGATTCTTATGAATTCAACCGATAGGAGGCTGGACAAATTTTGGCACGAAAATTGATGATCAACTTGGTGGATGATTTCCAAAATAATAAGCCATTGGTTTTAAATTCCAATTCTGTTGGTGGGTTCAAGCGTATACTAACTGACTCAAGTCTGGACAAAGAATTTGTGGCCAAGGCAATAACTCTGATGGGCGAGGGAGAAATAATGGACTTGATGGAAGTTGCAGACCCTGATGCTGTCCATACTGTTCGATCTTTCATCAGAAAGTAGCTTGCTAGTGAACTGAAATCAGAGTTCCTTAGCACTGTAGAAAATAATAAGAGTTCAGGAGAATATGTGTTTGATCATTCAAACATGTCTAGACGAGCTTTGAAGAATGTTGCTCTTGCTTATCTTGCTTCCCCTGAGGATCAAGAATTCACTGACCTCGCACTTCAAGAATACAAAACTGCTACAAATATGACTGAACAGTTTACAGCATTGGCATCCATAGCCCATAACCCTGTTAAAATTCGTGATGATGTTCTTGCTGACTTTTATGAGAAGTGGCAGAATGATTACTTGGTTGTGAACAAATGGTTTGCTCTTCAAGCTGTGTCTGACATTCCTGGTAATGTTGAGAATATGTAGAAACTGTTAAGCCACCCAACATTTGACTTGCACAATCCGAATAAAGTGTACTCTCTCATTGGAGGTTTCTGCGGGCTCCCTGTGAATTTCCATGCAAAGGATGGATCTGGCTATGAGTTTATGGGAGATATTATGCTGCAACTTGACAAAATAAATCCTCAGGTTGCATCAAGAATGGTGTCAGCCTTCTCAAGATGAAAACGTTATGACGAGACCAGACAAAAACTTGCAAAGGCCCAGTTGGAGAAGATCTTGTCTTCTAATGGCCTATTGTTGTACCCCAAAATTTACCCTCCCATATTCTTCAAAGTTTTGGCAAGCATCATCTCAAGTCTACTCAAGGGTTGCACAGTCAAACCATCCTCCTAAGCCAGTCAAAATTAGGGTTTTGGTTCTTGCAAGGAAGTTGAGGTTTTCAAGGGCTCAATCAAGTCCCATATGCCTATATACATTTCCAAGCATCCATATGCCAAGTTTCAAGGCTCACAAGGTCAAGTTGCACAGTCAAAAACCCTAACTGCTTCACAGTCAACTGTAGGGGTAAAATGGTCATTTGGCAGTCAAAAGTCAAAATTTTTGGTCAACATCTTATTTTGAAGCCACAATCATCATTGGATCAAATCTTGATCATGATTCCACAAGAATGGCTCAAAAATCATCAAGATGCAAAAGTTTCCATTTTTGGGCAGCTGAAAAGTCAACTGTAACTTGACCAAGGCATAACTTTTTCATGGTTCATCAAAAAAATCCCATCCAATACTCATCTTGAAGGGGAGGACATTTCCTACAACTCATCTTCACATTCCAAGTCCAAGAAATGCTCTCACAAAAAGTTATCAATTTCAACATTATATGTCATTTTCAAAAGTCAACAAAAAGGCACTTTAAGTCAAAGACCATAACTTGAGATTGGTAAATCAAAATGACATGGGACCAAAGGCATTGGTTAAAGGACTTCAAGACCTTTCCAAAATATCCAAGAACATGTTCATATGATCAAAATTGAGCAAGATATGCATTGGAGAAGTTGGGAAATTTTTGTGAAATGGCCAAAGTCAACTATCCTTGAAACTTCAATTTTTGACAAAAGGGCCCACTTTTTTCCACTTGATTCAGCCTTGTCATGCCACCCACGTGTCCCATGACCCATTACAAGACCAAACATTTATTGTTTCATTTTTATTTAATTTTTATGGATTTAATTCACTTTAATCCATAATAATTCAAATAAAAATCAAAAAATGAATTAAATGGTATCTTTGAGTTTTGAATGACTTTTATATGTCATAATACACATGCCAAATTCATGCCAAGCCTATTATGAGCATGAAATTCAAAATTTGAACAAAAATGACAAGTTTCTTTAATGGTGGTTATGAGAAAATCCAAAGCTTAATGGCAATGGTTAAAAGCTCCTTAATGTGACTGATTCTCATCCAAGCCTATATATACAAGCCTTGCAAGCCTCATTCACACCCAGAACTTTACACAAAACGGCCAGAGCAAAATCTAAAAAGTGTCAAAAAAATTGTGAGATCAAAAGGAGTATTGCAAGCATTTTCAGGCCAAAAGGAGAACGTGACTCTCTTCTTTGCCATCCCCTGAAGCTAAAGAAACCCTTGCCACGTCCTAAGATCCATCATACCACGCTGTAAGTTCTTCCCAGGTCCCCCAAAATTTCTATACATTTTTTTCTTTACATGCTTGTGTGTAGGTTCCAAAAGAAGGTTCATCATACACCTTCCTCATCCAGACGTCAAGTGTCCTCAAGCGTCCATCCAGTGGCCTAAAGATGACGCACACCATGCTCCTGGTCAACCTTGTGCATAGGCAAGCAAGAAAGTCAACGTGGCTTGGCTGGTTAATGGGCCTAAATTTCCAGATTCACCTCCTTAAGGGTCCAACACCCCCCTTGGTTCACTCTTTTTTCTCTTTGTTTTATATTTTCTAATTTAGTTATTAATTGTTTTTTTTAATTATTATTATTACCACCAAAATTAACATAATTAATATTTTTCATAAAAATTCAAAAAAAAACTAAAAAATGTAAGTATTTTTTATTATTCACTATTAATTATTTTTGTAAATAAAACACTAATAAATTGATTTAGTTTAATTAGGTAATTTTAATTTCCTTTTCCAATAAATAAAAATGAATTAGACTTAGGTTTTTTTTTCTTTTAACTTTAAATTTCTTATTTTTATTTTTATTTTCATTAAAAACATAAAAACACAAAAAATACTTTTTCTTGTAAATAAATAAATAAATTAATAATTAGGCATAATTTCATTAATTGCAAAAAGGGGACAAAAATTCAATTCTTATTCAAAAAAGGGTCAACACCCTTAGGACGTTCCCGATTAAATTTCCATTCGCGCGTACTTATTTATTCTGATTATATTTATGTATTTGTACAGAGGATGTAATAGTAATTAGGATTTTATTGCTTTCTTTAATTTTCTGCATTTACTTTTCAAAAACAGGTTTTTGTTTTTGGCGATGTATAGACCCGCGCCTTGTAATAGTTAGAATTTACATTTTTGCAATTTACTTTCCGCACCCCTAACTGTTAAATGCATGAAAGAATGTATGTAAATAAAATCAATCCGTAGCTCACAAATAACATGTACAAAGACAATCAACTGAAAAACAACACACCAAGCACATGCCACTCTTAGGGTACGCTTCACTCGTTGCCTCGAAACGTAGTCATCAAGTATAGGACGTCTTAGAGGTCACCCTTTGTCTAAAGATCCAGTTGCCTCAAAACGGTTGCCTCGGATAAAAAGGATCTAGGACATTAGGGTTATTTCTAAGGTGTCCTACCATTGCTTCGGTGACCACACTGTCCCGATAATCGAATTGACCCGAACAACTCCAACGATGGTGCTACCTACCTCTCAATGGTGGGATAACACTATCTAAAGGACTCTTACACATCTTAATTCCTTAGGGTAGGTAGATTCTCACGGTGTGATCGGTGGATCTGGAACTGACTGTTTAACGCTAGTTCGCGAAATGTCGCGGAAGCAAGAGTCGCCACCGTCTTTTATTTTTCTCCAAATGGAAAGGACAAAAGCACAGAAAAATTCCTTATAGAGATTGCTCTCGGTTCGGGAGGTAGATTATAAAAAGGGAAGGTGTTAGCACCCTTTCTATCCATGGTTATCCATGGGCTCTTAGATACTTGCTCATTGTGTTTTCAAAAAGGTTTGTTTGCTTTTCAATGTGGGTTTTAAAAAGTTTCTTTGAAAATTTCAGTTCGACTCTTGTATCGGTCCTCAAGAGTGTTTGAAAAGTTGCTTTCGAAAGCTTTTTGAAAAGGTGTCGGTGAAAAGTATTTTTGATTTGTTTTTGAATTTAGAGCAAGTATCAAGAGTCGTCTACCTACCCTAAGGAATTCGTCTGTGTAAATGTCCTTTAAAGTAGTGCCATCCCACCATTGAGAGGTAGGTAGCACCACCGTTGGAGGTGTTCGGGTCAATTCGAGGTTCGGGACATGGTGATCACCAGAGCAATGGGAAGATACCTTAGAAGCTACCCTCATGCCAGGTTCCCGGATCATGAGGACTTACTAAGACATCCTCTACTCGACGATCACCTTTCGAGGCAAGGCAACAGTGAGGCGTACCCTAGGGGTGGTGTGTGATTTGTGTGTCAGATTCAGATATTTTATCTTGTCATGTTATTGGTGATCTACGCGTTTGTTTTTTTATTTTTTTGTCATTCATTCTTGCATGCATTTATTTAACAGTTAAAAAGATGCGGAAATTGAAAGTTCTAAACTATTACAAAGGCGCGGGTCCACATCGCCAAAATTAAAATCCAGGACCCGATTTGACGGAAAGTAAATAAATAAATAAAATAAAGGTAAAATGCGAGAAATTAATTACACGGCTTTGGGAGA